TTAAATAAAAAGGTAAATACTTATAAATGTTTTGTTGTGACTAAATCGAAATAAAGGTAATAAATGAAGAGAACGCAGCAGTGGTGGAAATAATCCCACATTTACTGAGTAACGTTACTGTAATAAAGTACACGTTATGAGATACTTGTACTTTACTTGAGTATTTTCATTTTCTGCTACTTGATACTTTTAATGACTTAGATTCAGTAATAAAATGATGCATTAATATAGATTAAATTACCAGCAGCATATAAAAGCATTAAAATGAGCTTCAAGTATTACTTATTATTAATACTTTAATGCATTAAGGCGTCAATAATACTGATACCGAGTGTTTAAAACATGTAACAAATGCATACATAAATATAAATGTACTGAATTATTATTTATTATTCAAATAATAAATAATTATGAATTACAATTCAAGTGTAAAACTTTAAAATGCAGCAACAATTAGGTCAAACTGTAAAAAATGACAGTTTATATTTGTATATAGTACATAAACATGGATTTTAATTGAATAGATATAATATTATTATACCCATTCTTCAGTACTCTTACTGAAGTGAAACCTAGCATGCAGGACTTCTGCTGGTAGAGTATTTCTACACTGAGGTAATACTGTCTGGTGAAGGTGAGCAGTGATTGTTAACTGACTGAAGAGTTCTTCTTCTTCTCAGAATGAAACTCGGTTTTCCGTCGACCTCAACACTTTTGGTTTCTACGCTAACGGGACTCTGGATGTCAACCTGCTCTCTCTGCGCCTCCCAGAGCAGGTGGTGAACTACAGCCTGTACCCGGTGAGTTCTACTCCACCCGCTGACCCACTGAGCCTGTTCTCTACACCGTTATCAACCACATCTGCGGAGGGCCACTGTGGGTCAGTGGTAGAGCAGGGTGGTGCGATACCCGGCTCCGCTGGTCCATGTGTCCTTGAGCAAAACACTTAACCCTAAAAGTGTGTGTGTGTGTGTGTGTGTGTGTTAGCCAATCACGTGCACTTCACGTGTGTTAGATAGTCCTGATGGTCTGAATGATGACAAGTAGTGTGAAAGAGCTTTGAGTGGTCGGAAAGACTAGAAAAGAGATATACAAGTAGGATACTCCTCTTCTTCTTCTCCTCCTAGTATACCATTTTACCATATTCTCTAATTGTCTTCCTCTCAGTGAAGAGACACAAACAATGATTGCCTGTGTAGTCGGAGCTCTTTATACATATTCCTCTGCGTGCCATAAGACACACTGAGTTTGATCCACATCGTCCTCTCTAACAAAGAGATGGCATCCACATGAATACTCGTATAAACAAGTGACTTTGTGCTGAGCTCGGTGAGTATTGAGAGGAATCACTAATAAGTGAACTCATTTTCCTTCTAGCTTGTGGCTGCTTTCACACGTAACTGGAGCCAGAGAGATAATACATGTGAGGTGTTGAACTCATTGAATGTTGTGTTAATACTGAGACTCTCTCTCTTTAGGTGGGTTTCACCCTCTCACGGTCTCGTGTGAATGGAGTCCTGTCCTACACGGTGAGTACATCCATCATTAATATTTATCTTCCTACCAGACTGTGTTATGAGTGATGCTGATCAGCTTATTGATACTTCAGGACGGGTTTAGTGGTGACATGTGACTCTTTTATTTATTCTGTCTCCAGGCGGAGGAGACGGAGACATGCCCGCTCACTCTCACAAAGGTCACCAGCAACGAGCCTCTCATTCTTTTTCTCATCGACATCAAGACGCTCAGGTGTGTATGTGTCAGCACCAGCCTCCGCTAGAGTGTGTACAGCACCAGCCTCCGCTAGTAATGTGATAATAATAATAATAGTTCATGTGAAGGATGACTGTGTGATGTGTGTTTGTGTAGCGTCAACGTGAGAGCTTTGGGAGACCAGGACAACCTCCTGATAGCAAAGCCAAAGGCTGAAGCTCCTAAAGGTCAGTGTCACTCACACTATACAACTGTTACAAAAGTGATTCTCTTTGCATATTTAAAGTGACAGTAGTGATGGTTAGCAGTGTGGTTGTATGAGGTACTTCTGTGTTTTACTACAGTAGATGGAGCAAAGCAATGTACTATTTTAGACTCCTAGAAGAATCTATCAGTCTAAGTGAACGCTATATTTAGAATATTTTAATATCTTTACCTTCCTGATGTGGAACTAATGAGTGATGGAATCGTTGTAAGCAGACTGTACTGTGTAATATAGGAGGTAGCTTGTACCTGTGTTTGTTTCCTGTAGGTCTGAGGAAAACCAGGGACGCTCCTGCTGATCCTGCTGTTAAACCAAACGCACCAGGTAAACCAGCAACAACCAAACTAGACAACCAGTTGACTCAGAAGGGAGAAGATGCTGCGTCTGTGGATCAGAGCAGAACAGGACCGATAGTAGAAGCTTCAAAAGTGGAGGAGAATGAATTCCAGGTAAGAGAGTGTTTGTTTGTGTGTGTGATCTGTTTTTCATGAAATCAGTTTCTAATCTGTCTTTGCTTCCAGCTGGAGAAGCTCAAAGAAGTGACTTTAGCTCTGGACAAAGTTAACGACTCCTACAACTTCAGCGTAAGCACGTCTTTCTTAACCATTCCACATTGATGTGAAACGATGTTCTTTGATGTGGTCCACTGATGCATGGCGCTGTGTCCCGGTCCGTCCCTCCACAGTTCCACATGGTGGTCGGCCTGCTGGCGGAGGGTCTGTACAGCCTCAAGTTCCACTACTGTCAGAACCGGATGCCTGGAATCAAATTCCCCTACTCCTTCGCCGTAAGTAGAGCGCGTGTTGTGTTGGCAGGTGAGCGCTCAGGTGTGTGCGCGCGTGCGTGTGCGCGTGTGCGCGTGTGCGCGCGTGCGCGTGTGCGCGTTAACCCTGGATGTATCCTCCGCAGGTAGAGGTGACGGAGAAGAACCCAGGCGGCTACCTGTCTGCAGCAGAGATTCCTCTGTCTCGCCTTTACATCGGTATGGCTGGAGTCTTCTTCACAGCTGCCATGGTCTGGGTGTACACTCTCATGAAGCACAGGTATGCATGCAGGCCCGCTGACAGGAAACGGAATCAGTGTTGTGGAACAGAACCTTACAAGAAAAACACTTTGCAGAGCCATGTTTTCTGAATATCCTGTGAGGTTGTTACAACCCGCACATTATAACGAGACCAGACGCAGATTAATGACACGGTTTAACATGAACCGTTAACAGTGTGACATAGTTTTACTGAAACGTGCTGCGACGTTCTGCAGAGATGTGATTCTTGAGACCGTCAGTGTGACTTCAGCATGCAGCAATAACTGGACACCCAAAAATATGAGGTATTAAGTGGACAGACACAGAGCTACACACACACGACTGAGCTCATAATCTCCTGGCGGGAGATAATAATGTCTCTCTGTGTTTGGTAACGTTCCACTAAACATCATCAGGTAACCAGCGTGAGGCTGATTTCACTGTTTTTTTATCGTCCAAGTTGTGCATTTAAAATAAATATGAATCGTTGATGGTGCTGCAGTCAGACAGGTTGGAAACACGAGCTGTCATATAGTTACATGACTAACATTTGTCTGTATGATGAATAATTAATTACCTGAGTGTCTTGTGTAGTGAAATTCCACTTTGCATTACATTTTGTAGGAAAAGTTTTATTGAATCTTTTTGGGACTTTTTTCTGTCGTCAAAATATAAAAAATGTATCTAATATAAGGTGCCACAAATTCCAGATGGAAACAGCTAACCTGTCTCTGCTGTGAGTGGAACAGGTGTGATTTGTTAGTACACAGTCACGCCTCAAAACAAAGGACTATTCTGATTCTCTGCTGTATTAAATATTGCAACATGTTCTGCGCTGTGCTTGTTTTACAGGTACAGTGTGTTTAAGATCCACTGGCTGATGGCAGCACTGGCCTTCACCAAGTCCACATCATTGGTCTTCCATAGTGTGAGTACACCAGAGCTGGACCACTGGACACAAATGTTATCACCATAGGATGGATGTCTACAGTCAACACTATATACTATATAATGTATACACTGTATATTCACCAATAGTGCTCAATTTACAGTTATTTCTTTATACCACATTTATTGCTTTATCTCTTTTACTCCTTTTGCATTCATGATGCATTCAATGACCGTTTAACCCTAACCATACCTTTTGAAATAATATACGGTATGGTTTACTGTTAGTGTTCTCCTTTGGGCTGAACCCTAAAGAAACCACAAGGTTGATTATGGTTCATAACATGTGGGGCTACCTCTAAATTCATTGTTATCAGAGAAGATTTAATGGTGAAAAAAGAGCAGACTATGTCTCTTTACTCTACTGCTCACTGAGCTCTGACTACACCTGGATTCTTTGTCAGGACAGATTCAGAAAAACATTCCTGCCCTCTGCCATTAGACTTTATAATAAAACACCTCGGGCCAGATCATCGTCCTTCACAGGACTACAACAACGCTACATGGTTGTTGCTTGTTGTTGGTGATCGTTGCACTACTGTTCAGTTTGCCTAGTTGTTAATTTAATTAATACCACTCTATTCATTGTATATACTGTGCATTTCTATTTTTTATTCTATTTTATCTTATTTTTTATTAATCTATTTCTTCAAATTCAATATCTGCTCTGTTATTTTATTGTACTGTATACAGTATATTGTGCATTTGCATACGTTATATTTTACTCTGTAAATTGCTGCTGCTACAATCTAATTTCCCCCTGGGCATGAATAAAGTTTATATCTATCTATCTATCTTCTTACGGAGTTCTCTCTCTCTCTCTCTCAGATCAACTATCACTTCATCAACACTGAAGGGCATCCTATTGAAGGCTGGGCCGTCATGTATTACATCACACACCTGTAGGTACAATGTCTCCAGAACATGAATGTTAAAGTCATCCGACACTCTTATTTAGGGATTTGTTTGTATTGCTGTCGTTTCCAGGCTCAAGGGGGCGCTCCTGTTCATCACTCTGGCACTGATTGGCACCGGCTGGGCTTTCGTTAAGTACATCCTGTCTGACAAGGAGAAGAAGATCTTCATGATCGTCATCCCTCTGCAGGTGTGTACCGGTAGTTGTGTGGGATTATTTCACACCTGGTGAGTTTGTTTTGGTCACCCACTCATCTGTCGTCCTCCAGGTCCTGGCTAATGTGGCCTTCATCATCATCGAGTCCACGGAGGAAGGCTCCAGTGAATACTACCTGTGGAAGGAGATCCTGTTTCTGGTCGACCTCATCTGCTGTGGAGCCATCCTGTTCCCTGTTGTCTGGTCAGTGTGTGTGTGTGTGGTCTGTGTGTGCAGTCTGTCTAATTTGTATCAGTTATGTCTTCCATATATATTTTTTTTAATCTGTCGGAAAATTGAATCAAGACTAGTTTTAACACGATGTCTAAGTCACTGGCTGAGTCCATAGAGGCTAGTTGAGATCAGACTGTATATAAGAAGTGGACGTAGTCATCGTCACGTCACTCGTTGGTTTGTAGACATTTTAAATTTCGTCGTCGCCATCTTGGATTACGGCCGTCGCCATCTTGTTTTTTGTGCAACCAGTGAACAGGACTGAGGAGGAGTAACGTAGAGACGCCAGAGGAGTCGCCCCCTGGTGGACACTAGAGAGAATGCAGCTTTAACACATGAAGCTCTGACTTCTCTTTGATCCAGAGGTTGTCTCCTGGTTTAGATGAGAGGATCTTTATGGGCGCTTTTGAGAACCGTACAGCGTCCAAAGTGCTTCACTTTCAGCACATTTTATAGGAAAACCGAAAGCTTTAACTTCCTGACAGCAGTAGGAAAGAGGTGCGGTTGTGCTTAGAAGCACAGAAGTGTGATGTGTGGCTCCACCTGTGTGCAGATGGATTTGTAGTTCACAAACATCCCTTTGTTTTTAGGTCCATCCGTCATCTACAGGAAGCTTCCAGCACTGACGGCAAAGGTGAGAATCCTGATCCGTTCCATCTTCAAAAGGTTCTGTGAGATTGTAGAGATGCTCATTTCTCTCTCTCTCTCTTCCAGCTGCCATGAATTTGGAGAAGCTCAAACTGTTCCGGCATTATTACGTGATGGTAAAAGAAAGTTTGAACTCAAATATTTACCTTCAGCCAGTACTCGTGTTCACTGAGCAGAGCCTGAAGGCATCATCATGTAACTGAGGTGAACCTCCGTTGGGTAGCCGTTAGCGGTGCTGCTAACGTTACTAGCTCTCCTCCTGTTGGGTAGCCGTTAGCGGTGCTGCTAACGTTACTAGCTCTCCTCCTGTTGGTTAACCGTTAGCGGTGCTGCTAACGTTACTAGCTATCCTCCTGTTGGTTAGCCGTTAGCGGTGCTGCTAACGTTACTAGCTATCCTCCTGTTGGTTAGCCGTTAGCGGTGCTGCTAACGCTACTAGCTCTCCTCCTGTTGGCTTAAACACTGATTGGTTGTTTACAACAACGTTAAACTTTATTTACACTCTGATGGTTAACGTCAAACTTTATTTACACTGTGAATGTTAAACTGAATTTAATCAGCGGGTCACGTGGCTCGGGGGTCATTCTATATCCAAAAGGCTGCCTCACTGCTGATTTAACGGCTGTTTTTTGGCGGATAAAGACTGGAGTGTTGGTTCCCTCTGACATGGTGAACATTTGTTCTTCTTAGATTGTGTGTTATATCTACTTCACGAGGATCATAGCCATTCTGCTGAAGGTCACGATGCCGTTCCAGTGGCAGTGGTGCTACGAGGTGAGACGACGACACACAGATCAACATTCATTACTGTTTCAGGCTCCACTCTTCTGAAGCTAATGCTAGCTGCTGAGCTCCAGTGTTCCTGTTGGTCCTCATTGAACACCTTCTCTTGTGTCTTCAGTTCCTGGTGGAGGTCTCCACTCTGATCTTCTTCGTGTTGACGGGCTACAAGTTCCGCCCGGCGTCCAACAACCCGTATCTCCAGCTCCCTCTGGACGAGGAGGACGTAGAGATGGACGAAGTGTAAGTTCACCCTTCAGTTTACCAAGAGACTCCTATCAGCTCCTCATCCCTCCCTCTCCCCCCCTCATCACGTGTTTAACTGATGGTGTCTCCCCCCTCTGTCTCCCCCTCTCTCTCTAGAGTGACTGAGTCAGGAGCTCTGGAGGGAATTTCCAAAGTCAAGAAAACGTGTAATGGTCGTGATCGTCAGAAAGAGTCCACCTTGTGAGCGAGAAGCTGGATCTTTTTCTTTCATTTTTTGGGGTGGGGGGGGGGAGTGTCAGCTGGTACAAAGGGGGTGCGCACCCCCCCCCTCCCCCAGTGACGGCTCTCCTCTGGAACTGTGAGTGGTGTCAGTGGTCGTGTCCACTGTCTATGCAACAGACTGAGACGAGCTCCAAAGATGAAGATTGCTTTAGAGACGTTCTTCTGAGGACTGTGTGATCTGAGGACTCGTGGTTTGTTTCTTCCCTTTGGAGACAGCGGCCCGTTCTCAGGTAAAAGTTTAATCAATACACATATAGATATTTCAAATTTAGGTCACCGACGTGTCGTCTCTTCTTCCCATCGGTTCCTCTACAACTTCTTCACCACTGTCCTGAGACCAGTCTTCAGTCTCAAGATCACGTTTTGAAGGTCTTGTTTTTACTCAGTCAGACACAACAGGACTCTGGATTTTAATTCAAGACCACGACCGCGTGGAAATCACAAAACTGTCATTTATTTAACATCATAAGAGAGGCTAAGCCCCGCCCCTTCCACACTCCCCCTTTGGACCTTATTTTGTAAAAAAAAAACAAATATCTCCAGTCGTCAGATGTTAAACGTTGTCTAACCTGTTTCATCCAGAGGTGAGAGAACATCGTAGCTTCAGAGAGTTTACGACAAAATGATACTTTGTTGATGTGCAGAATTATTATTTTAACATACAAACATCGTGTGTGTAATTATGGAACAATTCAAACGTCTCTTGTTGACTAGCGTACATATATAGGGGGCGGGGCTTAGCCTCTGTAATACTGTGTACGGATGTAGAACTTCCTGCTTCCAAATGTAACCAATAACGTGACTCGTGTGCAATAACACTCTAAACAAACAGTGGGAGTACCGGGACTCGTGCCGGGGCTCGTACTGGTCTCGGTGGTCTAAAGACTTCTCTTTACTCCCCGTCTGTCTGATCAGCGTATTGACTTTCATGTGTCAATATATTCACTTTCTTTGCATATTGAAAAGTCATATTTCAGTATTTTGTGTTGGAGTTCCTCCCGCTGCTGTAATTTAGTGCTTCAGTGATCATTTCTGAATTTATCTTTGCGTTTTGGTTTTTACCTCCGTGCTCTCGATGTGAAGCTTATTTTCGTACTTGTTGGTTTTGTAAATACTTCGGAGACGTCCCGCTTCATGAGAGGCTTCATGGACGCTAAAGATCAGCTCTGTTTAATGAGTGAAGCGTCACAATAAAGATGTGTTCATACGAGTCATGTTTAACAGCTGTTCATGGTTTAAATGTTGACTTTCTTGTTCTTATCGTATCATATTTAAACTTTGGTCTCGTGATGTTTGCTTTTCTTTATATTATATTTTAGGCTGAAGGATGCAAAGTAAATGTTTGGAGAACAATGAACTCATAACAAGTTGATTATCAGTGTACAAATATTAAATATGAATGACAATTTAATAAAAAATACTTTCTTCTTTTCTTCAGTTTTCAAAAATCCAGACTTTGATGAAAATGTGATTATTATTTTTTTAAAGTTCTGTTAGAAATTTAAGGACGTTCGACCAATCAGAACCCATGATGTGGCTTCAGCCGAGGTCTCACGTCCACCAAAGTGATTTGATAATTAACATGCTCGTTATGACACGCAGGATCAAACGATGAGGTGAAGACGTTCTGTTGGTGGAGGGATACAGCCGAGAGGCCGATTCTAGCTCCTAATGTAGAATCCTACGTCTCCCATAATGCAACTCAACAGCGTCTTCATGTGTGAGGCACCCGGCCCGGTACACGCCCATATTCTCCTCTTATAGCTATTATTAATTGTTAGCCCCTTAATGTGTCTGGTATCCTCAGACCCTTGAGTCAGAGGGAGAACATTGTTGGAGAGCTCAGGAACACGACAGAGCGGCGTAATGAAAGGAGATGATCAGGCCGACACAGAAGAAGGAAAGTGTTCTGGCATGTAACCCGAGCACCAGAGACGTCTTCAGCTTATTTCTGTTTCTGCGTGTTTGAGCATCACTGAGCAGGTTTTAACTGTTTTATTGTAAAGTGTCCCAAATGTTCCACTCAACGAATGTAAATGCAGACTTCTAATCGATCTGAGCTTCTTCCTCTGAGGGACGAGGACCGACATGGACTCTGATGTGTTCTGGTAAATATATATAAAAATTAGTGCTGGGCAACGATTAAAATGTTTAATCGCGATTAATCTCATTGTTATGCACAAAGTTCAATAATGAATTCAAAAGTAGTGTATTGCTCACTTGTATTTTAAAGTCCTGCTATACGAACTAAAGGCCAATAACATTTGGTTTAAACACATCAGGTTGTTAGCAGCAGTATTCCCTTTACACAGTAGCAGTTATAACACAGTTATGATTCTGATCATAGATATTCAGCCGGTGTTCATAACTTTATCTTCATGTGTGTAAGAGATATTTAAATATACACCTTGAAAACTGCAAACATATCTACTTCATGTTTTTATGTTTGTTAAATTCTCAGTAGCGATAACTAAATGATGCTTATTATACATATTACAAACAAAACACTTTAAAAACTCCACAATATGTATTTTAATATTGTCACTGTTGTAAATTATTTGATTGCATGATTTACTTTTATTGTGAAGAGCATGAAAACGGAAGTGCTTTTACTTGGAAGAGACGGGAAGTAGAATGGTACGTGTTATTGACGCTAACAATGTTGATACGTAGAAAACCACATGTCGGGTGCAAGAGCGTGTTGTGTTCACTGTAACACTGCAGTTCAGACAGTAAAGTGTTCCGTTCAAACAACACGCGTCTTGTTCCTCACAAGAAGCTCCACTTCACGTTTGATCTGTAACGAGACGAAGTGAGGCCACACGAACACAGCTGTTCACTTTTGCTGCCCGGTTCTTGTGTTAAAAATGTCGCTTAATAATAAAAATAAACGAAACTGCGTTAACGCGCGATAATATAATTGTCGGCGTTAATTAATTAATGTGTTAACGCAATAATGCGTTAACTTGCCCAACACTAATAAAATTATATCTTTATATATTTATGCAGACTTTATGATTATGCAGACTTCATGATGCAGACTTTATGATTACGCAGACTTCATGATGCAGACTTCATCATACAAATATAATACAGAATTTATGATACAAACATGATACAGACTTTATGATACAGACTTCATGATACATACTTCATGATGCAGACTTCATGATACAAACATACTACAGACTTCATGGTGCAGACTTCATGATACAAACAATACAGACTTCATGATACACACTTCATGGTGCAGACTTCATGATACAAACACTACAGACTTCATGATACAGACTTCATGATGCAGACTTCATGATACAAACAATACAGACTTCATGATGCAGACTTCATGATACAAACAATACAGACTTCATGATGCAGACTTCATCATACAAATATAATACAGAATTTATGATACAAACATGATACAGACTTTATGATACAGACTTCATGATACATACTTCATGATGCAGACTTCATGATACAAACATAATACAGACTTCATGGTGCAGACTTCATGATACAAACATACTACAGACTTC